GGAAGCGAAAGGGCTTTGGGATCCGCATCTGCGTACGAAGCCCATCACCTTTCTGGAACTCAGGGCAGTAACGGACAATCTGAAGGCATTCGCAGACGACCTTCGAACGGGGACCCATCTCCGCGTATGGGAGGACAATCAGGCCGTGGCCCACATACTCAACACAATGACCACGCGCTCACCAGCCCTCATGAAGGAGTTGCGGGCGTTACACAAGGTACTGCTCAAGCTGGGCATCTCAATCGAGTCACGATACGTCCCTTCTGCCGTCAACCGCTTCGCAGATCGCCTCTCTCGCTTGCGTTCACTGGACGACTGGAGGATCAACACCCGGACAATCAGGGCGCTCTTACACGAGATGGATCCAACAATCGACCGGTTTGCGGACCAAGAATCAACGATCTGCAACCGGTTCAACAGCCGCTACCACTCCCCGAGATCCTCAGGAATCGATGCGCTACAGCAACATTGGGGGCAGACGGTCAACTTCTGGAACCCACCGCTCAAGCTCATCCCACTCGTCGTGGAGAAGATCATTCAGGAATGCAAAGGGCCTACTGGTCACCCCGTGGTGGCCCGCTCAGTCGTGGTGCCGTCGCCTCAAGGAAATCGGAACGTTTCAGCTGTTTCACGCGCCAGACGTCTATCTACCACCATTGTGGGCACCACAGCACCTGCCAGCCCCACCATGGAAAATAGCCGTCTGGACGATACGCAGCAACTTCTGCTAGCTGCTTCGCTTCGTGGCTCAGTCCTGCGCACCGCCGCAGTCCGAATCTCAGGCGGAGGGACTACTATCGCTGGTCTAATTCATCGCGCTCGGGCGCCCAACACATGGAAGAGCAATGAGCGATTCTGGCAGAAGTGGACTGTGTTCTGTACGTTGGAAAGGATCGGCCCATGGGCTGCGGATGAAGGATCTTTGCTCAGGTACCTCGGTTGGCTCTTCGACTCAGGCACGATTGCTGGCGATTCAGTCAAGAATTACGTCCTCGCAGTGGTAACGGCCCACAAACGCGTCAAGTTGTCCGTTGGATACACCCCACTCATCCAACTCGCGCTGACCGCCTACCAACAATCTGACCTGCACCGCCGCGCCGAAAACGACCCGGACGCACACAAGGAACGACGGGCCCTCCCGAGCACCGTAGCAAAGAAAATCTTCGACGCTGCTGTGGCCGCTCCTGCTCTCAACCGTCAGTTTATTCGCAACGCTACCGCTGTTCTGGTTTCCTACGAAGAAGACGTATCTTCTTCGAAATGGGGGAGGCTGGCGCTGCGCTTCGCATGGACAACATTCAAGTTTCGGAACGATCAATCAACCTGGCAATTGCTTTACGGAAAAATCGGTCCCGAGTGGCACATACCCTATCCTACACTAGACTATCTCCAGACAAGCTTTCGCTCATCGACTTGGTCTTACGGTACGACCGTTACCGCCGGAACACCCGCTCTACAAGTCGCTACTATTGGGCCCTCCCGGGCCAACGGCTCACACCGTCATCGGCAAGCATCTCACGTTGGCTCTAAGCTTGGCTGTCTCAGGCTGGCGTCAACGCACCTCCGCAAGTCTTGTGGTCCTCACACTCGCTTCGCATGGGTGCCGCATCGTAATGCGCTGCAATAGGAGTCCCTTCCTACCGCATTCGCATCTGGGGGATTGGAGTGTCGCTCGCACAATGGAAGAATCCTATCTAGACGCTCGCGTACAGCCGTGCGAGGATTCCGTCTTCTTTTTCGGACATCTGCCCGAAATCTCGATTACTCCCTATGGAGTTTCTTCAACAATATTTAGTGCATTCATTGGCAATTGAAAGGTGAATCTGGACAAGGGGGCTTTTCGGTTGGAACGCACGACAACTCAGCAGAAAGTGGAAAACAAGTGGACCATTTCAGCCGTACAAATCCAAGTCAGGATGACTTGGCGACATGTCAGCGCCAATCCACACGCCATGATTTGGGGAACGATTCTTCATTCGCGTAATGAAACTTGGCAAAAACAAGAATCAGCACCAAGTCACACTATGACTTGGGAATGATTCTTCATTCGCATAATGAAACTTGGCAGAAAAAAGAATCAGCACCAAGTCACACGCCATGGTTTGGCACCCCCACTATGACTTGGAAATGATTCTTCATTCGCGTAATGGAACTTGGCAGAAATGAAACTCGGCCACTGTCTGAAAACAGGGCTGTATAAGAGAGGCACGTCAAAATTCTCTCACCATTCTTCTCTCTTCCTCAATTGGTCGCTTGTTCTCCCACCATCCCACCCTGAGCTTCGCTGCTCAGTCATCAAGTCATCACTGGTTCTGTTCTCTCCGTACTCTTTCTTGTATGGCTTAACCATTCGAAAATGTTTTTCATGCACACGCTCGGTAAGATAACGCGATCTCCCGTCGCTACTTACGCCCTGTCATCCTGGAAGTACCCCCTCATCTTGAAGCTTACCAAAGCAGAACTCGAACTCAGGTGAGTCTTGAACGCGCGCCCCAAATCAAGCCGAAAGTGGTCCTCATCCGCCGAAGGGGGTAGTATCGCTAGGATAGCGGCCCGGGGTGGCATGGAAACACGCGCCACTACGCTGCTTTGCCCGTTGTATCAACGTTTATGTCCACACCAATGCAGACAGCGAAAGACGGGGGCATTCATCCAGGAATTCAACGAACGGTAAGCATTTCTAGGCCGAGATCTTTAGGTAATAAAGCGCAATCTTGTTTCTTCAACACTATTCACGGACAACGTTAATGTATATATATTTTTGCAAAAAAAGCTGGCCTCGCCATGCCTGACCTCATATGAGATGAAATTGCCGGTGGTCGCCTAGACACTAGCGGAGGTGATTTTCAAATGCATCTCATTCAAATATATCTCAATGATGCTGATTACACCTGCAATCAACAATTCATGTCGTCTATGATGGATTGCTATGTACACGTGGAAATCGACAGCAGCGAGTTGCAGCTTCAGAAAAACCGAATATTCATCTTGCCAAAAACGATGCTTGGACCTCCTGTGCCTTCTTGGCTGGACTTCTCACTGAACGGAGATGCCCTGCATGACTTTCCTAAATCTAATGTACTACTGCACGAACGCCTTTTCTCAGGGGCTCCTTGAAACAGAATTTTACCCTGACGGAAAAGATAGGGCCCGGATTTCAGAACTTCCATGGACTGCAAAGAGCTTCCACTGGAGTATTTGACTGCATTTATGAAATCTTCCTTGTTGAGGAGTGGAGATGAGTCTCAGAACGCGATATATTTCAAGAAACTGCATCCAGGATGCCATTCCGGAAGGCATGAATCACAACGCAACATCCCGCATAAATGGCGAGCTGCAGCGCCAGCCTCTCTGTGATGCATACATCTGTCATCCTGACATCTGTCAAACTCTCTTGAAAAATGACTTTAAAACCCACTTACTATGGACATAATCCATTTACTTACGCAATGCATAAGACTGGAACGAATCGACTGTGCAGGGATGAACTACTGCATATGCTTACACTAACAATCATCTGAATTTTAGACAAAAGGGCTTTTGATCTCTTTTTGTTGCATCCATTCATCAAACATTTGATCTCTGTGTGCCTCAACTATTGTGAATACGTCTACAGACAGCAAATTGTTCCATTCCTCACTCCGCACAGCGACTTTCATGTGTGGAGCTCCCTATTGACGTGTCGTTTGTATTCCCTCGTTGTGAATGAAACTGTTCGCTGCAAATCATTGAAGTATGATCATTTTCAACTTGAAAAAGCGCAAGTGCAGTGAATCTCTCTTACAACACATCGATGATACATGCACGCAGTTGCAAGGCGGAGCGAATTTCGTGCATTGGAAAACGGATGGAAAACACTGTTCGTCAAAGACTTGATAGCAAAAGCCAGCTTGTTTATATCCACGACTGTTGCCATTTCTCTGGGAATATTCTCAGTGCCATGCTTTCAATGACGCGTTGTCATGACACAAGAAGAACACGGACACGACCTAACTCCACAGACCAGGAGCGGTGTGGACTTTTCCATATTACTATGTGGTGCTTGCCAGGCAAGGGGTTCGTACCGAAGTTTTTTTTTTTTTTCATACGACCGGGTCGGGGGTGCAATTGTGTACTAGTAATTTGGGATTCGGGATGTTAAGGGCGTTGCAAAGAGGGTTTGGAATTCGTTCTGAAACGAAGGGGGTCAAACCGAATTGCTTTCTTGGCAACTCCGAAAGGGTATATAAGAGGTACACCTGAGAACGATTCAACATCTCGACGCAGCCTGCAGCCCTTGCACAGCATTTCCACAATCACCAACAGCTCACACCCAACTCAAGAGTCAAGACCAGTTCCACCAACCCGACATGAATTCATTCAAAACGCTATTGTTCGTCGCATTGGGAATGATGCTGGTAACCAGTATCCAGGCTGGTGGCGCGTGTGGTTCGCGTTGCACAGTCAACGACAGTACTGGAAAATGGTACTGCAAGCCGCTAAGCTGCCCTGATTGTTACGAATGCATCTATCCAGAGACTTGCGAGCTCATGCTCCAGAACAACAGGTGCTGTGGCACCATAGGCCTATGTGCGTATTGCCCGGGCTGCAATTGTGGAGCATCTAGGTTGAAGCAGTCTTTGCCGACGCGCGGGGGACGTGATTGCCCTCCTGGAGTTAGGTGTAAGGTTCCTACCTAATCGTAATTGAGGATGTGGGTTGGGTGCGGTTTACATTAGCGACTGTATGGAGTCTGTCTTATCGGACCTAGAGGCCGAGGCAGGTAAGGTATTGCAATGCAGTTGATGGAGTAGCTTTCCCTTGTGATAGTGTATCGAAATAAAAATGTAGTCTCCATTGCTAGTCTGATTGTGGTCAAAAAAAGAGAACCCATAGCATGCAGCGATGATTATGCAATGCTATGGGAACCTTCACATGCTAGATTGAAGGAAGGAGTGCGGAACAGCTGAACTGATATTGATCAAAACGCATAGAGACAGCAAGCTTGACTTGGCTTAACAATGACGTTTACGTTCCCATACCTTTTGAAATGGGTGTGCTCATGGCATGCGTATCAAGGGTTAAGAGTGAAAAGGAGTGCGAGGAAATGCAAAAGTAATCAGCATGAGATGCTGAGCCGTCGCCTGTTCCTTCTTTTCAACGCTGCTAAATATCCCTACTTCTGCGTGCTACTTCTAGTTCCAGCTTTGTTTATCTCCCTGCATGGCCTCCGCCTTTTGTCTTGCATACGCTGCTCATCTGCATCTGTCCCTTCACATTACTACGCTTCACGCTCGCCCCATTGCGAAGGATGTTCGCTTGCTTTCAACCGCAATTATCAAGCTAACCCCCCCCCCCCCCCCCCCACTCACGCCTATTGCATGCACGCTTGTCTGAATTCGCGATCATTTGCAATCTCGCTGCTGTCTGCATTGTTCAATCGTGTATACGTACCGCACTCTGCGACCACTGCCGACAACGTTTCTCCAGGAAGCATCATCTCGAGAGGCACATCCAAAACATTCACGAGGGCCAATGTCCCTGGACATTGCGTGCCTCACTGCCTTTCACCAAAAACCAAATCTTGGTAAGCTATCCCCCTCTATGGAGTCGTCCGTATATTTGCTGCGCTGTGACAGGAGAAGGCAAGCAACTCATGTTAACATCTTTATCCTTGTCTCATTATCCCACATTGGATGCCCTTCACAGAGCGTCATATCATGACAGTTCACGAACGCCAAAAGCCGTTCCAGTGCAACGTATGTGACAGGTGCTTTGGACGCGAAGAGGTTCTCAAGAAGCACGTTTAGTCGACTATGAAAAGTCAACTCAAGTAGTGTCTGCTTCGGAAGAGGGTCTGGAGTTCTTCTTTGAAGGGACTTCAGGGCCAGGATGTAGTGAGAGTATGTGACGTTTGAGGTCTGACCTCCGCCCGAAAGTTGCGGGACAAACGTTGCAGACAAACGGCCTCTTCTTCTCCAATCGGGAATCCATTTCTTATTCCCCGAAGGTCGTTTAATGTGTTGCAAGCTGCGTAGTACCAAGGGTACTTTGAAGCTTTTTTTTACCGCTCTTCCGCCCGCGCTTCTTCTCCATCCCCACTGTCGACACAAACATACTGTAAACGTCACCTCGCCGCGCCCGTCGCGCTCGTCGAACCTCACGCTGCTCGTGCTCATCACCCGCCCCTCCCGCTCCTTCTACGCCAACGCCTCTTGCACGGCCGCAACCACCGCTTTCCCCTTCTCCTGCCGCTTCCTCGTCTACCACTCCGCCTCCTTCTTCTTGATCTCCTGCAGCCGCTTCAGCTTCCCCATCGCCGCCGACGCCTTCCGCGCCTGCTCGGCCGCCCGTCCCACCTCCTCCCCCGCCGTCTTCGTCCGCCGCCGGTCCTGCTCGCGCTTCAACTTCCTCTGCGCGCTCTCCTCCACCCGCTCCAGCTTGCTCTCCAGCCGCGAGATCACCGTCGTCGCCTTCTTCAGCAGCTTGCGCGCCATCTCATGGATCTCACTCTTCGAGTCGTTGTAGTCCATGCAGTTCTCAAACAGAGCCGGATACCAATCCCGCACTCTTCCTGGTCAAATTCCAACACCCGGCGCGCTTCCTTGATATGTTCCCCTCCCTTAAGTCTCTTCTTAATAGCCCCAAGGTCCAACGGCCGTTTAACCTGCTGCCTACACCCGGGCACTTCCTCGTCGTCATACACCTCGAGCACCGGCTTGAGAAACTCCTCGCACCGCGGGTCCTGCACGAGCTCCTCGACCAGCGCGTCGAAGAACGCGTACTGCTCCCCGCTGCGCACCGCCTCCTTCGTCACCTCACGCTGCCGCTTGCGCGGCCCCAACAGGTTTTGGTCCAGCATCGCGTAGCTCGCGTTCCCGTGATGCATCAGCTCCTCCTCCTCGTCGCCCGAACCGTCCCTGCTGCAGCATCGCGTAGATCGCGTTCCCAAGGCCCATCATGATGTGGGTATGAAAGGGGTGGAGTGAGGGCGGAGTGCGTGTGTGCCGCGTGCGGGAAGGGGCGGAGAGGTGAGGAAGGGTGGCCTAGTACTTGTATGGTAGTGCCAAACGTCTGAGTGTCGCGTTGGGGGAAGAGGCGACGGCTGGGCCTGCAGGAACGCGGGGTGCGGCGCGAGAGAAGGAGCTGAGTCCGCTGCGCAAATTCCGAAATCTATTCAAAAACCTAAGCGTCCATGGCCGAAATTTGCGAAAACGCACACAAAAACTTGAGAAATTGTAGTTATATGGATTGTGGAGACCTTCTCCACAAATTACTCCCTTTCTCTTGACTGCAGTAGATTAAAACGGGAACCAGACCTGCTATGGCTTCGCAACAGGCATCACAAGAATCGGCGTCTCAGGCGGTTCTATCAGCGGTGGCCAATTGCACGAGTGGGTTTTTCTGTCGCGGGACGCGGTTGAAAATTTGATACTTTCAAAATCTGAAGTTGGCGCGTCAGGGGAATTCAACGTTGAGCGTGTTTTCAGGAGTTATCCCTTGAGAGTGGCCCAGTGGGAAATTCCTGAATTCACATTACTGCTTCTCCGACTTTCACGGGGCTGTCTGAAATGCCGAAGTAGTCTTCCTCTTTTTTGAGCATTGATGGCATGGAATTCGAATCTCTTTGATTCGTTCTTGAGAAATCGGCCCACACCTACCGCATCTGCATGAGACTGATTCCCACTTTGGAGAAAGAGAGGCATGAAGCTACCCTTAGTAGAGGCTTTACTATTGGTGGCGCTATTTGGCCAGACAGGGTTTTCGTCGGTCACAGAGCATGCGGAAATGAAGCTAAGATAGTGACTCCATAGAAGTACAGACACCTTGTCGTGCGGTTGTCGACCATGACATGGACATGCCCCTTCTCTGCAGTATGGGAGTGGCAACATGCTGATGTACTGAAGGTTACCCTTGCAAATTATGTCAGCGGTCGTCTGAAGGGCCGCGCCAGATACAAGCCAGTCAAATGGGGGGGAAAAGGGCAAAGTAGGTGTCGCTGTATGCTGTGGTGAACTCCATACTCGCCCTTTTTCTTGCACACAAAGGGATTTGCTCTCCCGTTCTGTCTCCTGATCATCTTTTTAGGCTTTGTACTTGCTATGCTACAGTTATCAAAAGGGCAAAGTAGGTGTCGCTGAATGCTGTGGTGAACTCCATACTGTTAGTTCTCGCGATGACGGTTCTATGCAAAGACGTGATGGGCCGCTTGGTCTCTCTTTTCTTCAACACTACTGACTAGATAAGTACCCCTCGAAGCGTCCAAGTAATCTCCCGCAGCCACGGTTCAGCTTCCACTAGTTTCTTAACCAACCAGATAACACCACCTGGCCATTTCCGGCGAATTAAAAGGACTACAAAAGATATTATGAAAAGGACACTTGTCCTTATGTTCCCCAATCAGCGCACTGGCGCTCGCGGTCATAATATAACCGCGTCATCACCACCTCCCCAGGCGCGCACTTCCGTTTCCGTAGCGGGGTGTCATGTCGCACAACCCAATGGCCGGCAAACCGGACCGAACGAGGACAACGGTGAGATCCACTACCTCGGGGGAGCGGGAAGGGACCTTTGCATTGACGCGCGGGGTGGCCTGGGGGTGGTCTGTGCTCAGGTCAGTTGGAACCGGCCAGCGCCGGCGTCTGCCGCCCTGTCTAGAAAACCCCCGTTGAAAACCTACGGGCTGTGCGATGAAACCCTCTCCTGCGCATCGTCCATTGGACTGTGTCTTCATGACAGTCCGCTCCAGGTAAGGGACCTCCTTCATCTCCAAACCACCTTCATGTTATCATCTGATGCTTCTCATTCAGACCACATCCTCCGAATGCAGCTGATTCACAGCACACCGAACACTGGATATACGACAGTACAGCACATTTTGCACAGGACATAAGACGGCACATGATATACGACGGCACAGGACATGCCCGATACAAAAACACACTGTGTTCTTACCGCAAAGACAGCATCCGTTCGATCGGTTCTCACCATGGTCGACGCACTTATGTGTAACAATTGTTACATTAATGCCAACTAAAAACAAATCTCTCCCAAATTGATGCAGGTAGATGCAAGGCGACAGGGAATTCTTACGCACTCAATTACCAAGTAACAAGAAAAACGCATGATGACGCAGTACAACTTCGAATCGCAGATGCTACTGGCTTGACTCAATGCCAATGGGAATTTCAAATCCCGTTGGGTAGTATCGTCTTAGGCGTCTGAAATGGATCGAATTGCGGGAAACCCTCCTGGGGTGGCCCACTGTTCGTAGGAAATATCGCGGATGGGCCGTCGCGTGGACGACAAAGGGTCCCTTCCACGGGCTCTCAATCAAGGACTTCACTCTGTTCCGGCTCCTGCGAAGGAGTACCATATCTCCCGTTTTATACAAGTGTGGCGGCTCGGTACCGACGCGGATTCTTTCTGCTGGAGTTGCTTGCAATCCTAGTAGGTTGTTCATTCGGTTATGTCGTTCGGCGCGACGAGCTGTGGTTAATTGGATGCTCAAACTGCGTTGTGTGCTTGCATCCATGAGTAGCCCAGGACCTCTGTCGGACCCCAAGCGAGGTATCGTTTCGTACATGAGCTCAAACGGAGACACCCCATCTGGCCCCGGCCTGCAACGGTATGCAAATATTATTCTGTCGAGCGCGACATTCCACTCCAAAGTCGGGTCTTGTAAGAGCGTACGACGCAGAGCCGATTTTATCGTGCCCACCATACGTTCGACTCTCCCATTTGTTTGTGGTGAGTATGTTGCCACGAAATGCCATGCGATTCCTTGGCTCTTTGCCCATACCTGCGTGTGTTGTGCTCTGTACGCCGAGCCATTATCACATTGCACTATCCTCGGCACCCCATGTTGCCACAAAAAGCTTTGCAGAGACCGAACAGCTGCTCCGCTACTCGCTCCTGTATGCGCGGTGGCAAAAGGCCACCCTGTAAGATGCTCCACCCCAATGTGAATATACCGATTACCTCGGCGGGTCATTGGAAGGGGGCCAGCGAAGTCTACTGAAACCGTTTCGAATATACGCACTATCGGTGCAAAGAGATGCACTCGGTATGGAATCGGGGGAGAAGCTCTTTGGCATCCTTCACATTCACGCACGTGTTTCATTACTTCGGGCCTCATTCTCGGCCACCAGAACCGTCCTGCTACTATTTGATACGTCGTTCTTGCGTTCCAGTGCCCGAAATCATCGTGCAATTGATGAATTATGCCTTTGCGGATTAAGGTGGGAGGGACTGCGCGCAAGCCGTTTCTCGTTCTTCGAATTAAGTGGCCATCTGAAACTAGGAAGTTTTTCGCCTGCTGTTTCAAAGCTCTCGAGAACGGTTTCATCTTCGTTTTGTCCTGCGGGTCGGTCTCTTGGAACTTTAGGTATCGCATTATTTCACGCAAGAAATCTTCAAACGAGGAGGATGAGGCTGCTGTCACAGTCTCGTTTCTGCGATCCGTTTCTGTCGCAGCGTGTACGCTCAACTGTCGCCCGTTGCTCATCTTGTTGGCTGCTGCTTCGGTACCTTTCGTCTTTAGAACTTTCTCAGAGGTTGGATTGACATGCGCTCTGGAAAAGAAATCCGCAACGACGTTGTCTCTACCAGGATGATATCTGATTTCAAAGTCATACTCGGCTAGAAAAGCGAGCCAGCGTGACAATCGCCCGTGGGGATCCCGGCTATTGAACGCCGCCCTCAAAGCTTGGTGATCCGTGTACAGTATGAAAGGGGTCCCCAGAAGGTACACTCGAAACTTTTTGAGTGCGAACACGACAGCTAATGCTTCCCTTTCGTACGTAGAATAGCGCTTCTCCGCACTATTCATCGTTCTGCTGGCATAGCAGACCGGATGCTCCTGCTGTTCCTCGCCTTTTTGCGTCAAAACAGCACCCATTGCTACCGTCGAAGCATCCGCATAGACGACGAAATGCCTTTTGAAGTCGGGGTAAGCAAGCACTGGTGGGCTACACAGAAGATTCTTGAGCTTATTGAATGCGTCCTGCGTCGTTTTGTCCCACAAGAAGGCGGATTTTGCACTTGTAAGTTCGTGCAACGGCTTCGCAATCTCGGCGAAGTGCGGAATGAAACGGCGGTAGTATGATGCTAAGCCCAAGAAGCTCCGCACTTCTGTCTTCGTGTGAGGGATTCTAGTATCCCGTAGAGCCTGTGTCTTCCTCGGGTCCACTGCGACCCCCTTTTCACTCACGATGTGCCCTAACAGGCTGACAGACCGGCGGGCAAAGGTGCATTTTGAAAGCTTGAGTTTCAAGCCGTACGATTTGACTCGTGACAATACTGAACGAAGATGGGTGATGTGTTCTGCCATACTAGATGAATGGATGACGACGTCATCTATGTACGCGACTGCATATTCAATTCCTTCTAATACCGTCGTCATCATTCTCTGAAACGTTGCGGGGGCGTTCATCAGTCCGAAAGGCATCACCTCAAACTGGAATGTCCCTTCTCGACATATGAATGTCGTCATCTCCTTGCATTGCTCGGCGACTTGCACCTGCCAG